GGCCTAGACCCTTCATCAGAAAAAGGGTCTAGGCCCGAAACGTCAGCCTCTCTGCTCCTATGATGCTGCTTGGCCTGCTGCGTTCATCCAGCCCTGCACCATGTTATTTCACTTTCTCGCTTTTCTCTTTCTTTGTTTCTTTTTTCAGCTTTAACTAAATCTGATACATAACAGCCATTCCCTCATGACTTGGGGCACTCTACTTTTTGTTCATCAGTCAATGTATTTATCCATTATCTAACATCCTGAGGAGCTGCACCTTTCTAGTACTGTAAAATAATCCTCATTGCCAAGATTAAACCCAAATGTAACTGATGGGCCCCTGGAGGGATAGTCTGAGTATGACCAATTTAGCACTAATTGCTAATGTGCATTTAAGAATATCTCCCAGAAATAACTGGTTCAGAAAACTTCTGCGGTTGGGCAACATATGGGCACTATTAACCTCCTTGTTGGCATATTGCCAGAGTTTCTGATTGTAGTAACCTTACGGTTAAAAGCTGTGCTGCAGATACATAACATTAAATTAGACTAAGTTCGGTTTTGCGTCAGTTCTTTGTAATGTTCTGACCAGCCTTTTATCTGAAGTCTTCTACCTATTTTTTTTTTTTGTAATGCTGTTTTGATTCTTGGCTTACACTGTTGAGACTTGCACATACTGTTCTTCCTTTGCTGAAGTCTGTCTGTTTGGTATTTTGTGAAAAGGGCTTCTCAAAGGAGCACTACTAAATTTTTCAGGCACATCAAGAAGCAAATTTTACCCTTGTGTATTTGTTGAAAGAAAAATGTACTTTTTTCTTTAATTTCTTTTGGTGAACTAACAATCCCCCATTCCCATTCTTCCTGAAGATGTTGCTGTCTGCTGGGTACAATTCTATAGGCATCATGGGCCTTCCTGCATTACTGAAGCAGCCATTATCTATGAGGGCCTATATAGAATCAGCAGCCTTTTTAATCATTAGTGACTTTTACAGTTCTGGCAGATTTTGTATTCACGTGGTATCCAAAGAAGTGCACTTCAGACAGGGGTTCCTGAATAGTAATCAGGATCATAAATTCTGGCTGATTTTCATCTCCCACTAGTGTCTCTATCACTATCCTGACTGAAGTTAGACAATTCAGTGTAGAACAGCAATGAAAGCTGGAAGCTACCTGGTCTGTAAGCTTCTGCTAGTCATCGGATAACCTTGACAGCTGTATCGGGGTGGGCAGGTCAAAGGATGTAATAGCCCTTCGTGCTTGTGACAAGATACTACATTTAACTTTCATTGTCAGCACCTCGTTCTTGCTTCGGATCCCTCATGTAAGTAGAACAACAAGGAAGTAATAATAAAGGAAGATTTTCCTTTATAAAATGTCTTTCATGACCTTCGGGATGTCTCCAAATACTGCCAATTAAATACTTTAAAGCATAGCTATTGTAATATAGGAAATGCACCATCCAATTTGAGCTTAACAAGTTATCACAAAGAACAATGTGATAATGACTGGACAGTCTGTGCTTGTGTTAGCTGAGGATTATAAACAGCTAGGCTCCCTTGCTGTTCAGGTAGTGCCGTAGGATCTTTCGCACCACTTCAGAAGGCATACAGGGCTTCAGATAAATAACTCTCCCAAAAATGGGACATCTGACAGCCCAGTCTTCCCTCTGTCATGGCTTGCCTGGCTTTTGTGCTCGGCTCTCTGGACAGAAACTTGAGCGGGAGCTTCGGCTAACGCCAGGATGAGTGTTGCTGGCAGCCAAAGTTAAGTCCCTAAGTCAGAAAGCTGGTGAAGGTGGTGAGCTGTTTGGGAGGCATCCACCACACAGTGAGCATAAAAAAGGAATACATTACAGACTTGTGCACTTAGGTCCAGGTAAGATTGGCTACTTTGTTGCCATAACCTTATCTTGAAGCTGTCACAAGCCCTCAGCATGATGTAGAGGTGCTGGTGTTGGACCAGGGTGGACAAGGTCAGAAGCTGCATGATACCATGTTATAGTCCAACCGGTTTATTTGAAATCACAAGCTTTTGGAACACTGCTCCTTCATCAGGTGACTTTGCCTGACAAAGGAGCAGCGCTCCAAAAGCTGGTGATTTCAAATAAGCCCTCGGCAAGTTTAGAAGATTTGTATGCCAGGTACATCATTTCCACCATAATGCCACGATAAGTCCTATCTTATGAAGTCCCAATTCATAATGTTTCATCACATGCATAAGTGCCACTTTAGTATTCTCTGTGTTTAGAATGTTCGTTCTTGCTCTTTTTCTCCCCCCTTGCTTTCACCTGTGTAAAAGCAGGACAACTCTACCTGCCACTAACTACTTGATTTAAAAGAAGACACTAAAGTAGGAAGATATGCACCCTCTCCAAACTGTTTCCTTTCTGTGCATCATGCTGAAATGGAACAAAGAAAAAAGAAGTACATTTATAAGATAAATTAGTCAACTGATCAAGCTGGATATTGCAACCTTGCCTATTGCTTGAACTGCCAGTGCACTAGCATTGAAATCGTTTCCAATTCAATTTCAAGCACTCGATTAGGTGGACCTGATTGTGGAGAGGATCCATTGGATAATAGAAGATTGTGGTCTATCTAACTTGGTATAAGAATTTCTTAGAAACATCGAAAACACGACAGATTAGTCAGTAAGGTGAGAAGACGAGCTAACATTTTAGGTATCTACTCATTAATCGGAACTAAGGTGTGACCATGTGTTTTAGCAAAGTTGGAAAATTAGGAGAAGATGTATGGAAACTGTATGGGGAGGCAATGGCCTAGTGGTATTATTGTTGTTAATATTGTTAGTATTAATAATTATTGTTAATAATACCACTAGGCCAATAATATTGCTTGGCTCTGTGTTAATCCAGATGGTGGAATTTGAATTCAATAAAGGAAATCTAGAATTAAGAGTCTAATGATGACCATGACTCGATTGTCAGAAAAACCCATCTGGTTCACTAATGCCCTTTAGGGAAGGAAACTGTCATCCTTACCTGGTCTGGCCTACATGTGACTCCAGACCCACAGCAATGTGGTTGACTCTTGACTGCCCTCTGGGCAATTAGGGATGGGCAATAAATGCTGTTTAGCCAGTAATGCCCTCCGCCCATGAATGAATAAAGAAAAACCCTGCAGTTAGATCTAATTATTTGAACTTTGGTTACAGAAAGCTGCTTTCTGGCACATTTTATATGCACTAATTTCTCTCATGCTATATCACGCATGTAATCAGGAGCATTTTCATGCCTCAATTGTATCCCAGATCTATATTTCAAACATTTGATATTTGTTATTTGTTTTTCTCTTTGCCAGGAATCTCAGTGAACTGATTGATAGGTTTATGGCAGATTTTAAAGCCCAAGGCCCTCCAAAGCCTAACACTGATGAAGGGGGTGCCGTGCTTCCTAGCTGTGCTGATCTGTTTGTCTACTACAAGAAATGCATGGTGCAGTGCTCACAACTCAGCACTGGAGAGCCGATGATTGCTCTAACCACCATATTCCAGAAATATCTGCGAGAATATGCATTGAAAATCCTCTCCGGAAACCTGCCAAAGTGAGTATGAAATGGTCTTTAAATAGAGAGGCAAAGGATTTCCTCTGTAATCAGCAGCAAATAATTACTTGATTTCAAATCTGCAGTAATAACATCCTAAATCGGTGTAATCCCCTTTAATTAGCTACATTCCTGAACGAGAAACCCTATATATAGTGTCCAGGATGAACTATGTCCAGTAAAATTGAGAATATTGGAAATTTAAGAGCTGAAAATTGTCATTAGAGCAAGGAGTTCAAACCGATATGGGCTATTTTATCATTCTTAAACTCTATTCAAGATTAAGTTCCAATTTGAAGTTTGCTCACTTTCACTTTTTTTAAATTAAGTTTTTAATATAGTGTACTGAGGTGATTATTGAACTTTTCATCTATTTTGTGCAGAAGGGCAGATTTTCCTCTAGCTGCAACTGGCATTAATGTTTGTCTAGTCACAGCATGGGAAGACTCAGTAAATCGGATGCAAGCAGAAAGAACAACTGGTCTTAATTGGAATGGATTGCAATCATTTTCGCCATATATGGTACTACACAGATTCAGATTGCCAGGTTGTGTGCACATTTTTGGCAAGCTTTCTATTCAACATTGTTCTTAGGAACCAGCAGTTTTATTGAATCTGAAGGTCCTAATAATGGTCAATGGGTACAATTATTTTAAAGGAATGCACTGTTTTCCTATGTAGCAAATGGAAAAGTTCTTTATCTTCCTTTGTGCTTACAGTGACATTGGGATATGATTAAACAATGATGTTTAAAATGTAAGAGGTTCAATAGGTACCATACAGCGATGATATTGTGATTACAATGGTGAGCTTTGAAGCTGAACTGCGCTTCTTTTGGAGAACCATGTTGAGTCCAAGGCATTTCTCTCATACAGAGTGAGCCAATACTAAGGACCAGTTGGTCCAGGGACACTTGAGAACCTCCAGTAGCTGGGTAGGTGACAGCATGGGGAACACATGGGGATAGTTGTTCTTGTCTATTCTCTAAAAGAACACATGCAATATGAGGAAACCATGTGAGGAAAGAGAGGCAAAAAAATATGGAAAATTCAGTTTGAAGCCTGTTAATTGACGAAGATTTCATAGAATCATCGAATCCCTACAGTGTGGAGATAGGCCCATTTGGCCCAACAAGTCCACACCGACCCTTGGAGCATCCCACCCAGACCCATACACCTATAACCCACCTAATCTACACATTCCTGAACACTACGGGCAATTTAGTATGGCCAGTCCACCTAACCTGCACATCTTTGGACTGTGGGAGGCCACTGGAGCGCCTGGAGGAAACCCATGCAAACACAGGGAGAATGTGCAAACTCCACACAGACAGTCACCCGAGGTTGGAATCGAACCCGGGTCCCCGGTGCTGTGAGGCAACAGTGCTAACCACTGAGCCACCGTGCTGCCCAAGATTATGTTAGCATATCTATGATTTCACTTCTGGATTATTGAGGATTTTCTAACTTAAGGTTCTTGCACCCAGTATCTCAGTTGTGGTGTTCGTATCATTGATTGTGGTGGTTACAATTCGAGGAGAACTTTCTCAAACAGACCACACAGTAATGATATGAATGTCAAGAGTGGTGTCCTGGATCAGCTGCTGTGTTTGAAGATCTTGGTGAAGAATATGCTGAATTTGAAATTTGGATTTTGAATCTGAAACATTTAAAGGGTAAAATGATAGTGCTGTCCTGTCAGCTGCATTCATGCTGATGGTCAGCATGGGGATGATTATTTGGGTCCGCTGCATCTCAAACTGGTGTTTACTGCAGGAGATACCTGAATCAGTGATGCACCTCACAAAAGTATTTGGCAATGTGGTAGACAGGGATTGCAAGTTGAAATAACGATTATGATTTTGGTTATTTTAATTTGGACTTCACTTCAATAAGTATGAATTTTCCGATGGGCATGTGTTACTGCTGCTGAAGGAGAGATTTCCTTTAACTACAGGAGAAAAGTGGCTCAGTTTCTGTAGGAAACTCAAGGAAACTTGAGGAAAATCAGACACCAAGCAAATGGTGGGATGAGAATCACAGCAAATAATCAAAGCAATGGATTCTGAGGGAACATTGCTGAGGGATGTGACTTTTAGCAATCCATACCAGAGGGCAGATCATGATATTTTAAGGGTCTGATCATGAGGGAGAGAGAAAGGATAGTGTCTTTTTTGTCTGAATTTAAACACCAGAGATTGCAGAAGTCAGGTTGGAGGGTATGGGCAGATTTGTAAACCAGAGCAAAAATTTTGAAACCAAATATTTAGGAATGCAGTTGCTGGTGAGAAGAATGGTGATAGGTATCTGGAGAGAGTAGTTAATATTTTACGTTGAAGACCTTTTGCCTGATTTTTTAGTTAAAAGAAGGCTTAAAAAAGAAGACTTTGGCAAAGTCGGATATGGGCGATGAAGAGGAGGGTTTCAGATCAAAGAGAGTGAAATGGAAATGGAGTTGGGAATCTATAACATCTTTGTTTTACTGCATTGCTCTCTCGCCATTTAGCATTTTCTTCTCTTCAGAACTACAAGCAGCAGTGGTGGTTTGACCATTTCCAGCCTTCTGAAGGAGAAGGAAGGCTCGGAGGTTGCAAAGTTCACTGTGGAGGAGCTCTGCCTCATTTGTAGCATTCTCAGCACTGCTGAATACTGCTTGGCAACAACACAACAGGTGAGCAACCTTTGCTGCATGGAAGGCCTGGAGGCATGTAGGTTGCATGTTTGCAGCCGAGGGATTTGCTGCCTATAACCTTAAGTGCAAAACAAAAAGCATGCTGTAGTTCAAGTACAATTTGGTTCATAAACTTTTCTTAATGACGGAGTATTTTGTAATTGGGATTATGAAATAGCAGACATTGATTGTATAAAGTTGTACTGCTGACACAGAGGAGCACATATTGAAGCTTTGTGTGGACCAGAATGATTGATGTTAATGACAGAAACTACTTGTTCTCATGTTAAAACAAAGTTATGTAATTTAAATTAACAGATAACACAATTTTTTCAGTCTGAGTAAGTGACTTTAAATTTTAAAAAGATAGATTGCAGTGAGGAGCCTGTTAACTTTCTAATATGCAGTCTCAAATAAGCGAAGGAGTACTTATTCTTTATTCCAAGGTAAAGCAATTTCACAGCAAAGCCTGAACTAACAACTGCTCCCAGTTTCAGAAGCCACAAATAAATAGCTTAGGCACACCTACAACAATAGCCCATCAATAATGTTCATGAGTGGGGTTTGTGTGTTAGCTTTGTACCAGTTCTTGTTTCATGACTAGTTCTGAGAAATATCCAAAATTATTCCACTTTGTACAGAAATAGATTTTGACTCTGGGATGAATTGGTTTGAATTGGCTCAGCTAGAATATATCAAATACAGTATGTTTTGGCAGAAGTGTTGATCTGTGATTCACCTCTATGGCCATGCTGAAACATTAGGAAGGGCTTATTACCTCAAGGCATACATTTGGGAGCTTGTTCATCATTATACACTAAAATGATACAGTAAGTGGAAAGTACTCCAAAGGAAAGCAGTGCAGAATATTACATGCGAGAGAAATACCAAATGTTGCCAATTCTAATTTATCAATCACACATTGGACTGAAGGGGTGTTGTTGTTCAGATTGGTTTCACAGGTCGGCGCAACATCGAGGGCCGAAGGGCCTGTACTGCGCTGTAATGTTCTATGTTCTATGTTGTCTGTCAATAAGACTGCCATTCCCAACATTAGAGGTACTTAAAATTTGATTTCAGTTTGGCAGTTGATTAGTTACACCAAGTTTTATAAAATGCAGCTGTTGTCAGCTGTCAGCAGGTGGTGTGAGAGGAAAAGAGACAGCCCAGTAACATAAAATAGTATGAGGACTGTAATTGACCTTCATGGTCTAAAATTCATTCTGTGAGGGCTAGATATATCTGCACCATTATCCTCAAACTATGTTTTAAAAGCTTTATTATCCTCTTATAAATATTGTGCTCATCAGTGTGAAGGATGTTGTGAGGAACACTTGACATTTCAGAAACCCAGTGCCAACATCAAACAATCCAAAATCCACTGCAGAATAATTCAATAAAAGATAAAATGTATCTCAGAACCATTCTTGAAGGAGCAACTGAGCTTTTACATTTGCCCATCAGGTGTCCCCACCCACTCAACCCTCCAAGTTACCTTTTCTTGCCCTTTCTAAATGGTCCCTGCTCTCCTTTTAGGGGCCGGCCAGTCTGGTACTGACTCTAGTGCAGGACATCTTCCCGTGTACGTTTCTGTAGTACCAAAAGGGCTTAGTGCTCCCAATGGCACTGTTGATGTCGGGAGAGCCTGTGAATGGCTGGTTGTTCTCTGAGGCTGGATGCCTTGTTGCTGAGGGGCAGAAGTCCTGCCTCAAGGCAATCGGGGCAGCTGCTCAAAGCCAGGCTGCTTCCCCCTGCCCATACCCTTTCCATTCCCACATCATTTCAGCCTGGGCAGGATGGTGTGTGGACCACTTTAAAGTGCCCCCTTAAATCCAGCCCATGATGTTAACAAGGGGAGACTGACACAAGTCACAGCATCCCATACAGCCCAGATGGTTTCATCCAATCGATTTGAGCTCCGTTAACTGAACCAGGAAGGAATCTTGATTTGTGTGACTCAAATGCTCATTGTTAACCTGGCTCAGTCGTACAGAAGACCCTAGGGACTGTTTACTGCTGTGGGCTGAACCGCTAGGACCAAAATGCTTCCAACTTTATCGGCCTAGTTATTTAACAATTCAGTTTCGTAAATAATTCTGTACATCATTGAACTTTTGAAAGACAATATAAAACAAGGGCTACAGTTCTAATGGGGTGCAGGAACAGAGGGACCTGGCTGTATATGTGCACAGGACAGATGGAGAGAGCAGTAAATAAAGTATACAATGTTCTCAGCTTTATTAATAGAGGCATTGAGTACAAGAGCAAGGAGATGATGTCGAACTTATACAAGACACTTCTTAGGCTACAGCTGGAGTATTGTGTGCAAGTGGGGACGCAACAAAGATGTGAATGCATTGGAGAAAGTGCAGAAGCGATTTTACAAGAATGGTTCCACGAACAGGAGGAACTTCAGTTATGAATATAGATTGAAGTAGTTGAGGCTGCTCTCCTTGGAGAGAAAGCTGATAGGAAATTTGATAGAGGTTTTTATGATCATGAACAGTCTGGCTAGAGTAGGTAGGGAGAAGCTGTTCCTGCTCATAGCAAAATAGAGAATGAGAAAGGACAGATTTAAAGTGATTTGCAGAAGAAGCAAGGGTGATATGTAAATAAACCTTGTCATATAGCAAGTACTTAGGGTACGGAAAGTGCAGCCTGGAAATATGTGGAGGCAGGTTCAATTAAGGCATTCAAGAGGGCATTGGATGATTATTTGGATAGAAATGGTGTGCAGGAATATCGGGGGGGGGAAAGCAGAATAATAGATTGGCAGTAGGGAATAGAACCAGGACAGAAGTGATGGGCCAAATAACAATTACATAATTCTGTGATTGCATTTGGTACAATAATTGCAGTGGTGCTATATCATCAACAAACATCAAAGTTTATGAAATTGTGTTCAAAGATGTTATCTATTGTTCCCATGTCACTATCTCTCACTTCTCAACAGTGCTTTTCGTCTCGCCTTATTTAAAACCTGTTACTATTTTACTTCATCACCCAATGAATGATATAATTCCTGTCAACTAACTTGTAAGATTTGGATTGACGCTCAATGTTGTGAAAAGTGCCTACCTTGTATAGAAATTATTCAGAATGCTATCACTCAGTCTTTTCCATTTGCCAGTATTGTCTGCTGTAAATTCAAATTTGCTTAGAATAAATGACCAAATCACCTTTCTAATGCAAAAATTAGTTTCCTCTCCCTTGCATGCTTGGAAACTTCTCCTGAACCCATTTCCCTTTGCAGTTTTTGTCCCCAGTGAGTTGGCAGTCTTGATTTCCAGTGGATTTTGACGTTGTCACTCAGGACTGGAAGACAAACACTGCTTCAGCTTTGTGCTTTTTCAGCTCCTTGATTCCTGACAAGGGAGGGGTACGGCATGTGTACACATGCACACAAAAAAGCCAAGGGCCTCAGTCTCAAAATAAACCTATTTTTGTTGCATTGCCATGATCCTTACACAAAAGGGAAATTGCAGTTATAACAGACGGTGAGATTTTTGTGCTTGCATCCGCTGTTTGTTTTGATTTAACATATTTGTTAGACTGTGGCAAGATATTGGTTGTGCTCTTGGCAGCTCTGATTTCCCGCAGCCTGATGAGTTCTATGTATGTTCCTTAAACAAGCAGCCTCATCATCATCAATGCTAGCTTTAAAATTGCGCCATCAAAACTAATTATGATCAAGGTTGCCTTCTTTGGGCAAGAATTCAGCAATTTTTATTATAATAAAAACGATACATTAAATAAGGGATACCAAATACATTAAGCACTGCAAAGTAAACCAAACGATTTTGCTACACCCCAAGGATATTGCTATTTAAATGGGGAAGCTAGGTTTTTCTTCCATACAACAGGCTATTAGAGTCTGGAGTGCACTTTTGTAAACGGCTGAGACAAACGCAACATTTGAGAGAAAATTCAAAAAGGTAAAATATTAAACAGTATGTGGAAAAACTAGACAAACCGGTTTAGATTTTGACCTGGTCAGGGCACAGGAATGGTGAACTAAATACCACCGTTTAATGCTAAGTTTTTTTTTAAAAAACACTATCAATGCAAGTCACAGCCAAAGATTTGTTACACTGATTACACTGATAACTCTCCATTTTTGAGTGTATGATTTTGGTTGTGCATATTTCTTCATGTCCTTCTCCTGTCCGTTTGAACCTGCCTCTAAGTGTTTGGGCAGGTGATCCATATTGTTGCAATACTGAAGGAATGCTGTTTTTCCAGGAAGTGTCATCTTTTTGTTTGGATATTAAACCCTCTGTCTCAGGTGAATGGAAGGGTCTTTACAGCACTGTCTGGACGGGAGCAGGATAGTATTGCCAATGTCTTCACCAATATTTATCTTTGAAACAACCCATTGAATTCAGACTTTCTTGTCATTTATTTCGTTGTCTTAGTGAAACCATGCTTTGTGCAGAATTGGTTGTATAACCTATATTACCCTAATGATTGCATCTCAGATATGCTGTCGGATATCATGTGTGTATGAAAGTTGCTTTAGAAATGCCAATTATTTCTGCCTAAGGTGCCGTAACAATGAAAAATCTTGTCCTTGCATATATTACCTTTTAAATGTCTCAGGAATATCCAAGAACATATTCCAAAATACTGAGCACGTTAGAAGTCAAGAGAAACGGCAAATGCTGTAAGTACTGTGCAGGCTTGGCAGCATCTGTGGAGAGAGAAACAAGAGTTAACGTTACAGGTCTGCAACTTCTTTCAGTACTGGGAAAAGTTAACAATGTAAGAAGTTTTGAATAAGCAAAAGGGTGAGGGGAAGAAAAGGAGAAATCTGTGACAGGATGGAGACTAGGAGAGATTAAGTCAGCTAATGGTGCATTGCCAAAGGGGACAAGTGAAGAAGCAACAGATGTAGCTAGAGGAGGTGCGAATGGCTGAATTATACAGTTGACTATTTTTAAGCATAATCTCTATTGTTTTGTAATTGAATGTAGCAGCAGTTTTGTTTACAGTAATGTCCCAAACACAATAATGTTAAATTAAGTGGGAGAGCTCCATATGCATTGAATACTGCTGTGGAATCAAAGAACATGCAATGGGGTCTCTGTTCAATGCCTCCTCCATAGAATGGCACAAGCAACCCTTTGTCAGTAACACACTGTAGTGACTGCTTAGCTTACACAATACTTGGTGTTTAAATGAAATGTTCCACAGCTCTGTCCCACAAAAATCCACAGATGCTAGTTCAGTCAATAATTTTATTTAAAAAGTAGCCAAAGGGTACAGTAGGGCATATCGCGGACCCATATGTATTGCACTAAGATAGAGATCAATCATGATCTCATTGAATGACAGTGAATAAGCTCAAGGGGCCAAAAGGTCTACTGTTGTCTCTATGATCCAAGGAACGAGAAAGACTGAGGAAGGGTTAAAAATTATTGTAATTGCTACAGTTTCTTTTTACCTCTGTAATAATTATGTTTAAACAAATAAAAGTACATTCTCAAGATTTCAAATCACGATTTGGTGATTGGGTTAATCTGCCATATGGATTTTTCAAGCACTTCAGGAAATAGCCCATCTTTTGTTATAAGATATAATCTTGATAATTTAGTCAGCATGTCCTGTTCCAACATAATGCCTGTGTTCTGTTAAAGCATTACAAACTACATCTTAATTCAGCCATAAATTGTTATACATAAGTAGAAATTTTGATATTTGTGTGGGAGTACAATTGTTTAAAGAATCTGTTCCACAAATGGAGAATAATTGAGTACAGTCTACAATATACATATCAACTGTCTACAATGAAAAGAATCCTTTCACATTACAGTACCAATTTGGTCATAACATATAAAAGCAACTTAACTGCACGCAGTGTTTAACTGTTTCGCTACTTTAACAGATTTTGTTTTATAAATGTATATCCATTTGAAATGGATTTGTTTTACTATATGTTGGATTGATAGCTAAATTTACATTTGTAAGTTTCATTTGGCCCATTCAAGTTCTGAATCTAGTTAAGCACTCTAAGTTTAGTGAAAGTATAGTTGAATAATGTTTTGTCATGGATTTTGAACTTGTCTAGTTATGATTGAACTGTATAGAACTACTGTTAATCTTCAGTGGGTTGACTTGTCCATTTACTGTAGAATTTGTCTGGCAAATGCAACAGTGTGTTTACTGCCTTCCAAAATCAGGCTAGATTATATGCTCACAGGTGATATGAATGGTAGACGTTCTGTCTTGAATTCCTGGGGTGTGCTTAAAAAGTATAGCGATAATGCCCAGATAAAGGTGCACTGAGTCGGAGGAAAGTGAGGGCTGAAATGATGGGAACAAAGAAAACAAAATACATTTGAGTCAAAACCCAAACTTGGCAGTTTAGTTGGTAACATGTAACTTGACAGCTTTCATTATGCTAATTCTTTGTTTTCCTTAAATATTCTCTAAGTTGCTTTGTTACCTGTATGTTATTGACATTTGCCATTTCTCCTAAAGCTTGAAGAGAAACTCAAAGAAAAAGTGGATGCAAGTCTGGTGGAAAGGATTAACCTGATGACAGAAATGGACACCTTCAGCACGTGAGTAGAAGCAGTGAGAGGATTGACAGGTCCACAGTTTCCACTTCACCATTTAAAAATAAATGCTTCACAATTGCAAAGGTACCCAACCACACAGGCGTTCGCAGCACAGGAGGTGGTAATTTGGCCTTGACTGATCGAGGAAAAACTATTCATCTTAATGCGTGTTTTCCATCTTTTAGACAATAGCTCTGTAGGTGCTGCAACCTGAAGTGCGTATCCAAGTATTATTTAAATGTGATGAGTGTTGCCTCTTTTGGGCAAGAGAGTTTGAGACTCTTCCATCCATTGGTGTAAAATGTCTTCTTTGGTCTACAAGCTACAATAAGAATATAAAAAGCAAAAAATTAGCTGAAGTTGGTCCCTTGGAGAGTAATGCTAAGGAAACATGGAAATGGCAAGGGTTTTGGGCAAGCTTTTTGTATCTGCCTTCACTATGGAAGGAGAAGAAAAGCAGATGGTAAAAAGAGAGGTAGTAGCTTGAGACGATCCCGATCACTGAAGAACAAGTATTCAGAAAGTTAATGAGACTAAGGGATGATAAATTCTCTGGATCTGATGGTGTACATCCTGGGGTCTTTAAGGAAATGGCTGTAGTGAATGATAAGGTGCTAAATAAAAGATTACTGCACAAGATAAGAGCTCACATAATTGGAGGTGATATATTAGCATGAGTAGATGATTGATTAATTAACAAGAAGAAGAGGAAATAAAAGGGTCTTTTTCAGGTTGGCAAACTGTAGCTAGTGGCATGTTACAGCAATGAGTGCTAGTGCCCTCAATTATTTTTGAGGTATATGGATGACTTGAGTGAAGGGATTGATTATGTTGTTGCCAAATGATACAAAGATAAGTAGAAAAGTAAGTTGTGAGGAAGATGCAAAGAGTCTGCAAAAGGCTATAGATAGGTAAAGTGGTAAAACTTTAACAGGTCATAACTTCAATAGGAAAAATATAAGTGCAGAATATTATTTAAATAGATAGAGATTGGAGAATGCTGGAGTACAGAGAGATCTGGGTATCCTTGAATCACAAAGTCAAGGGTGGCAACTATTTAGGAAGGCAGATGGAATGTTGGCATTACGTCTCACGTCTCTGGATTTGCCCATCTGATCATCTTTCTGTAGTCTCCAGCATTGACCTCGCTATTAACAATATAGTCGTGTGGCACTGATTCGCTAAACATGCTGTTCAGGTGAGCATGCTGTGCATCTTAAATCTTTAACTCTAAAATTGATTCAGTTCACACTAACAATTATTACTGCATAATGAAATGTCATTTAAGTGTGTTCCTTGATGACTTCTTCACATTAGAATTGGACTTGTGATAATTTTGGCCCTTCCTATTTTCCTGGTAGAAAATGTGCAAGCCTTTTAAAGAAAACAACTCATTTTTCAGTAGACTTTACTTGTGGTTGTCCTTCTGGCGCGACCTAATTCTTTGTGATGATGCCATAGCCTATTTCAGTCAGGATGGAAAGTCCATGGATTACAATAAGATGGTGCAAAGCCACAAGAATTTCCCTGCACAGTTCTATCAGTTAGTCCGTTGTGAGTGTCCAAGTGCCAAAATATTTAAATCATTTGGAGTTTATGAGGTATAGTTAATTTTGCTCGCTGCTGCTCTTTGGGGAGTAAATCATATGGCGCCGATCTAATGGAGCCTTCAACTCTGCCAAATAGTTTTGGTCACAAATGTCTTCTTTTAACAGTGGGCTGGTGCACAGTTGTTACACTTAAAGACACAAGAATATTATGCTTGATTTGATTAGCCAAGAATGGACCAAATACAGTAGCGTGAATAGAATCCTGCAACACAAATGACTAAATTAGAACAAGCTTAAGTTGTTTCAGCCTTAAAATTACTCTGCAGCTGGTTGTTTACCAAGTTTTGTTAATGAGTTACTCTTTAAATTTAGTGCCCAGCTATAAATACTAAACAATTTAATTTTCATGTCTCCATATTAATGATGCAGAACTTGTTTACAAAAGTGTTAATAGATGTTTGCCTGTCTGCACCAGAATTGAATGTGACTTTCAAGTGTCATCTTTGGTTTGTACCCTAATGCTCTAAAGTTGTTGAAGATAAGTGGTAGTTGCACGCTCTCCATTATCAATTTAGATACATCAATAGCACTGTACAAGCTGAACATCAAAGATTCAAAAACATTCCATCAAAAATAAGTGGACTTAAGTGCTGAGTATAAAATATGGGCCACCCTGTATTGGAATAGATAGTTAACGTTTTGAAATGTAAAATGAAAATAACACTGGTAATTGAAATTAAATCTATTGAAATTTTATTTAATGGAATAATTTTATGAGGATAATTTGAACTACAGTCATTACATTTTGAAAACCAAGTAAATTCAACATCTGACACATAATTCATTAACTTCATTGAGCCATTTTGGCAAAGGCATCACTGCAGGATTCCATTATGAATCAGAGATGGCGGCTTTGGTTTCCTAATCATTCCCCTCCACACCAAATCATCTTCCTCTCCGTCACTGAATTGGATGTTCTGCAGTTTTTTTTTTTCATTCTCATCACAATTTCTGCATTAAGAGTATCTCACAGTTTAATGAAGAAACCAAGCAAAGCATCAATTGGGGAAGCATGCATATTTCAGTCTTCGTTCAGGTCTTTTTCTCCCTAAATCATCCAACTTTTTATTTCTGTGAAAACATGACTTTAAACTCCTGCAGGTCATCTTGGCAACACGCCCTGTATTGCCTACTTGATCACGTGTACGAACTTTTAAGGCAAATGTAACCTCTCAAGCATCTGTTTCTGAGCTGAAAAGTTAAGGCTGACCCCTCATACATGTACAGCCGTAAACACACAGCTATTAGATGAAAAATGCTGGATCGACTTAGAAGTTAGAACATAGAACAGTACAGCACAGTACAGGCCCTTCGGCCCACGATGTTGTGTCGAACTTTTACCCTAATCCTAAGGTCTATCTAATCTCCACCCCTACCTTATACTACCATCCATATGCCTATCTAATAGCCGCTTATTTGCCCCTAATGAGGCCGACTCCACTACCCTCTCCGGCAATGCATTCCACGCCCTGACCACATTCTGAGTAAAGAACCTACCTCCTGACGTCTCCCCTATATCTACCCCCACTCACTTTAAAACTATGCCCCCTCGTATTTGCTACCTCCACCCTAGGAAAAAGTCTCTGGCTGTCTACTCTATCTATACCTCTGATCATTTTGTACTCCTCTATCAAGTCACCTCTCATCCTTCGTCGTTCTAAAGAGAAAAGCCCTAGCTCTCTCAACCTTTCCTTGTAAGACCTCCCCTCCATTCCAGGCAACATCCTGGTAAATCTCCTGTGCACCTTTTCCAACGGTTCCACATCTTTCCTTAATGAGGTGACCAGAACTGGACACAATACTCCAGATGTGGCCGAACCAGGTTTTTGTATAGCTGGAGCATAACTTCACGGCTCTTGAACTCGATCCCTCTATTAATGAAAGCTAACACACCATACGCCGCCTTAACAACTCTATCCACCTGGGTGGCAGCTTTCCGGGAACTGTGGACATGAACCCCAAGATCCCTCTGCTCCTCCACACTGCCAAGAATCTTTCCATTAACCCTGTATTCTGCTTTCAAGTTTTTCCTTCCAAAATGAATCACCACACACTTTTGAGGGTTAAACTCCATCTGCCACTTTTCAGCCCAGCTCTGCATCCTATCAATGTCCCTAACTTTTGCCTTGTATATACATAAAAATGCATTTGTCACCGAAACAATGAGCTTGTTTGATACACCGTAATCTATTGTACGTTCATGAAATCTTACCATGTCTGTCTGCTTTGGAGGTCAAGAAATATCTCCAGATATTGCATGGTGTTCAGTACAAGAAAAGGCCAATTGTACAATTATGCTTATGTTGGTTCTTTGAAAGAGAAAAACTCCTCCAAAAGAGAGTTTTAAACATTTTGTCTCTGGTGTCCCCAGAGATGAATAAAATCCAGAATTTTAATAGAGGACTTCAATTCATATTTATTTATATTACTTTTACTAAATTGTCTTTTCCCCTTCAACCCTTCCTTCCTAAATCTATCTGATGATGGTTTCATTCACGTGACCTTACCTGACTGGAGTAAAGTGTTATTTTTCTGTCTATAGCTCTGCACCTTTCCTTCAATAGATGTTGCTTGCTGACTGTAGCAGTGAGATTGTTTCCAGATGCCCTCGGACAGTTTTTTTTCCTTGCTCATGCTTTAAAGCTTTGGGAATTGCTCCAAGAGGATTCCGACTTAGATTATCTTCTCAAGTAATTCAGATTTTCTTGAGTTTATGGAGGTGATGTCCTAGTGATATTATTGCTAAACTGTTAATCCAGAGACCCAAGTAATGTTTTGGGACCTGAGTTTCAATTCTATCATGGCAGATAGTGGGATTTGAATTCAGCAAAAAATTGAAATCAGGAGTCTAATGATGACCAAGAAATCATTATCAATTGTTTTAAAAATCCATCTGGATCATTTATGTCCTGTAGGAAAGGAAACAGTAGTCCCTTATCTGCTCTGGCCTACATATGACTCCAGACCCACAGCAATGTGGTTGACTGTTAACTGCCCTCTCGGCAATTAAGGATGTCCAATAAATTCTGGCTGGACAGTGATGCCCAAATAAAATAAAATCCCGTGACTGAATAAAAGACTGATTTAATGGTGTTACATGGCAAAATAAAATGTTTTCAAAGGGTTCTCTGTTTGCCTTGTTAAAACACCCTTTCGATATGGCTAACTAATAGCAGTTCTCAATTGTGTTCAACCAGCTTTTATTGTGTTACGTTGTGATAGCTACTATGCATATGTATCTAACATCAGCAATGATTCATCTATGAATTCATCCTGATTTGATTGGTTGTGAGTTTTCTGTTGCCTGCAGGCTGTTGCATTGAGGTAGTAAAACAGGTCCCAGCCACACAGTTTACATAAAATACTGAAACTGCTCCATTGGTCATACCGTAGATACTTTGGCAAACACAGAATGCACAATATTCCATCAAATGAGATTAGAAAATTAATTACTGCAAAATTATCAATGTTAGGATCCTTGACAATGGACAAAAGATGGGTATAATCTTGAAATGAGAGCTCAGCCTGATAGGTGTGAAATCAAGAAATACTTTTTCACATCAAAGGCACTGGAGATCTGGAAAGCTTCATCCTTCCAATAAGTCTGTGGATGCAGGATCAATTCAAACTTTCAAAACTGAGCTGAACTTGATATGTTTTTGTTAGGTAAGGAAATGGAGGGAGATGGTGATATATAGAAGCCTGATGCTGAATAGTGTATTCCCTAGTGTAAAAGCACGACTATATTGTCCTTTTGGAACTTCATGGAAAAATTATACTAATCAGCATGCTGCTTATATTTATAGTGATTGATTCTGTTTCCACTGAATGTTCCATTTAACAGAGCTTTATTTTGTATATCATCACTTTGTGTTTAATGGGATTCTTCTATCTTGTATTACAGTGTGATTTCCAACAGTATTCAGCTGTTAGTTCAGGACTTGGATGCAGCCTGTGATCCTGCACTCACTGCCATGAGTAAAGTAGGTGCAAATTCTTGACCTATTAGTTCCCATCAGTAATCAAGATGCTGTTGAGTATTGAAAATCCAATGTGATCTGGTGCCTCTAGCGCAGAGCTGCATTAACACCAAGTGGATCTTGGACATTCAATTTGAAATTTTTGTTGATGCGCTCTTTCAGAGAGCTGGATTCCTGACTTGGAGCATTAGATCAAGGAATCACCCCACTGTTGATGCATTCTATTCACATCACAACACATATTTCTCTAATAGCCTTGAAAGCTTATACCAACTAGTCGCATCCTCTCACTTCTGGAGCAGATGACCTGAACATCATGTGAGTTTGAGGTCATATTGGCTGACACCCCAAAAATATGGGTACCCTTTTTACCCCAAAAGAGAACTTCTTTAAGGTATTAAAAGTTACGATCAGCCTGTTCTGATGGTTCAGCTGGACAATGAAGATCCTCTGGCACTATTCAAAGTGGAGAGCAAATTTTTTGGCCACCATAATTGCTCTCAAAATAAAAGACTAAATAATAGTTCATTTCATTGCTATCTGTGGAACATTGCTGGTACTCTGTTGGCTGTCACTGCATTTCTAATACAAATTTTTCTATGAAACACTTAATAGGCATACTCTGTGTTAGGTTATGACATCAATGCAAGTGTCATTTTTATTTCATATGTAACGTCTTACCAATGAAATAATGATTCCGACTAAATTATCAATGCAGGTATTTCAACCAACAATCCAGTTGTTATGCTCTCTGTTGATTTTTTTTTTCTAAATGTAAAAATTTATGTGCTGCATTCCTTCTAGATGCCATGGCAAAATGTGGAACATGTTGGTGATCAGAGTCCATATGTCACATCCATAATCCTCCATATCAAACAGAATGTGCCTATCATTCGAGATAACCTTGCCTCTACTCGGAAGTACTTCACACAGTTCTGCATCAAATTTGTCAAGTAAGTAATTGTGTTACCTTAATGTTTTTACAGGGACAGGTTGAAGATAAATGAAGGTACTGCCACATGGTGAATAAGTTGTGCTGTGTTTTTATTACAAGGGGTTCAGGGGTTTTTACAGGGCTTTTGGGAACCTTTGGTCTGAACTTCTATCCAGTATTCCCATGAAAATCGAAGCTTTTGATTAAGAACGTCTCCATGATAATTGGTGTGGGAAAGGAAGTTTAATCGTAAGATATTTGTACGAGGTGAAAATGAAATGAGCAAAAGATTTGCTTATCATGGTTTTACAATAATGCAAACTATGAATTTATTTTTCCTCTCCCAACAAGATACTTATTCAAAATTTTGTAAAAGCACCTTTCAAAATAGTTCAATTTTAATTACAGGAAGTGTAATAAAATTCACCTAGTCTTCACACAGCTTAATACAACTCCAACACTGTTCCTGGGGGCAGTCCTGCATTATGATAAACCCTGACATGTTTCCAGACTTTCTTTGCAAGGCATGGAAGGTGAAAGAAGGTGGATGACAATCTTTTCTCCATCAAAGCTACAATAATGCAATTTCACCATTTACAAATTAATTGAAACCCCACACTTGTTATGCCATGCCAATTCATACTGTCATTTTATCGTTGTTGTGACTTGATTCTTTGGAAATTGTAGCTGCATATGTTAGAGGATGCCATTAATCATAAACAATTTGGAAAACACCTGTCTGTTTAAGTGAGTGAAGTAACTAATCCCATATTAATTTGACTGTTGTACCAAAGTAAATTATGTTCATTCAGGTGCAGAAACTGATACATGGCAGGATGAAGTAATTATACTTGCTCTGTGATCCTGTTCATTTGGTTAAATTTTGCTCAGAGGATCTGACTGTGGTAATGCTTTTCACACAGAGTAACAGGACAGTTTTTTTTTGGAAGGGTTCACACATTATTAATTACAATTCTCCTTTTGAGGTCATCGTGCTCTGAACAAGCATAACCAACAACCACTATTTACTGGCCATTCATCTCATTGCTATGTGTCATGTGCAGGGTTTCCTTGTGTAGTAGTGAGCCTGTGCATGCAAAACTTTGTGCATTTGAAAGATGTATATGCACATATTATTCTAATTGCCAAGTGCTATGAATAGATAACTAGGCTTTACTTCAAGGAGTTTCATAGGAGCAGAGAGGCTGACGTTTCGGGCCTAGACCCTTCATCAGAAAAGGGGGAGGGGAAGGGGGTTTTGAAATAAATAGGGAGAGAGTGGGAGGCGGATAGA